ATATATGTTTGTTAATAGTTATGAGAGTCTTGCTGCACCAGGCTCCGGAGATCTATCCCCATTTTACGCCGAACAAGTTTTTCAACTAAATTGTTACGTCAACGAGGCTCTTTTATTCGAACAGATAGTGGAAAATAAGTTGGAATCCTTAAAAGACCTTCTTCAAGAGACGCAAGTAGTGTCGGAAAATGGCTGGCAAGCTATGCTAAACGAAGAAAAATTGCTGGAGAAATTGAGTCTTTACGAAGAACAACTCCAGTTGATGAAAAAGGTATATTGACTTTTCCTTCAATATCCAATAATAGAATATTCCTGAAGATTCTTTGAAGTCCCGCCTGACTCAGGTTCTTGAAGAGAAGTTCCAAATAGAGCGCGCTGGAAAGGCCCTTCTAGACCGCATCCTTAATGAAAAATCAGAGGCTCTTAGGAAAGCTCTTGAATACGAGGTAACTCACAGCGGCATGTTTATTATTTGATGATACAGATATTTGCTTAAACGAGGATTTTTATTTTCAATAGCGATGCTTAGGAGATGCGGAGCGAGAGTGTACTCATTGGCGCACTGAGTGTGAATCTGCTCAAGAAGCCTATCAGTCGGTTTCTGTTAATTTACAAACCAAGACAAAGGAGCTAGAAAAGCTGGAGCAAAAGTTTCATGTAAGTGGCTTCATCCAGATTTTACTTTAGCTTCAATTTTCTCTTTTCGGCTGCATGATAATACCTGATCTTATTCACCTTTATTCACAGGAAGCCGATGGGGAGAAAACTGCTTTGCGTGCACGACTTGCCGCGACTCTACAAGAATCAGAAGCTGCTAAAAATGGACAGGATCAGCTACGAAACGAACTAGCCCAGCTTCAAGCTCACATTGAACAGCGGGACTCCTCTATGCTAACTCACCTCAATTTAAACAAGATGCTCAGTGAGGCTTCAGTAATGATTATGAAGTGTCTACAGGGTACCCAATTTAAATGCTGCTTATGTCCCATAAACTTTATTTTAATCATTATTTACAATGTAGAATAATACTACCCCGGATATTTGATAGCATATTTATTGATATATTCAAGCTTCTCGTCAGTATGCTTTAATATTCCTACATGACCGAAGTGTTTTTTTTAAACCATCCATTTTAGGCAGTTGTCATCATGACCATTGTAAATTCAGTTCCAAAATTTTCATTTTGTCCATTTTGTTATTTTCTATGAGCTAGATGGACTTGGTTTATAGGGAATCCGACAGAATCAACGCATACTAT